CTAGCAGACAAGTGGAAATTTCCACTGAAGCTTTCAGTGGCTCCCGGTAGGTGGGGGTGGGAGGGGGAGGGGAGGCCTGCGCAGCCAGGGAGCATCTTGGAGCGTTTAAGAAGACAGGAGACAGAGCTGCGCGACGCCAGTTCCTAGACTGTCTCGGATAAACCTCGCCAGATCCCGGCTTTGCTGAGGCGATGAATTAGCACCTTGAAACTGAGGCCCCCCTGTACGGGAAGCCCCATTTCTTTTGCTGTCTGTGGGGTCTCGTACATTCTAACGCACTCGGAACCTGCTGCAGGGGCCCTGCCACTACAAAGACACTCCCAAGGCCACAGCAGCCTCCTTGAAACCCACCAAAGCCCCCCCTGCGGGCTGGCAGGAAAGCCGGCGGATCGGCCTCCTCCAGAGAGGGTGCCAGGGCTCTCGGAGCAGGCTGCAGACACTCGGGGCGCAGGGCAGTAAAATTCCACTGAGCCAGTTATTTTTATCATTCTGCTTACCCGTAAATAGAGGGCATCTTATATGTAGGCCAGCAAGTCTTTGCTGCTGACCCCTATCCAAATTTTAAAGCAGGAGAGACCGGGGGAGAAGGGGCCGAAGGGGCAGAAGAACCCCTGGTCTCCTTGTGAGTGCTTACGCGCGGGCGTGCAGATGGCAGCCCGGGCTCACTGCAGTGAATCAGACCTGGTGAGACCAGAGGCAAGAGCAGTCGGAGGCAGCCTTTCAACAAGCCAAGCCCCACACACTGGGCAGGCCACGGAGCAGCTTCTCCTGCAGCTCCCTCTGCACTCTCGGTCCAGCCCCATCTAGTGGAAACGGAGCCTTAGGCTGCGTGCAGCAACGGAGTCAGAGGCTGTGGGGCTTCTGAGCCTACAGTACAGGGTCTCCCCCTTTCCAGCAAGGGCCTAAATGAGCATCTACTTCCTCTGCTCCCTCCTGCACCTGGGACAGCCTCCCCTCTCAGACGCCAGGGATACGGGAAGAATTTTCCACTCCCGCTCTGCCTTTCCCACAGAGCTGACAAGGGCATCAAGACAGGGAGATCATCAAAGGGGCCTGAAAGAGACGAACCCACATCCAGGGCCAGGAGTGATTCCCAGGCCCTCTGAGTGCCCAGCCTGGGACATGCGCCAATTGTTTCCAGACACTGCCTGGAAGCCCCCATCGGGAACGCGGGTCCAAGAGACCAGAACCCCCAGGCCAGCAGATTAACAGTATTGGAGGAATCTAGTCAACTCCTTTCTGCTCCTAAACTCACATCACCTGGGAAACAAGGAACCTGAGCAGGATTCTCTGGGAGAACAGTGCTGATAAAGTCACAGACAGGTGTCTGAGATGTCGGCCCCACCCCTGCTGAGGGTGCCCAGATCCAGGTCGTGCCCTGCTGCCAGGCGGAGCACAGAAGAGTATTTTTAAGTTTCAAGAGGTCCTTTACTGTACACAGATGCTCGTCCAATCCTACTGACCGTCAGGGATCATGCCTTAAGTACATTTCTGTGGGCCGGTCTGGGAACCAACCGTCAAGTTGTTCCAACAGGAAAGTAGGTTCTCAGTTATAAACAACAGGCTTACACACAAATTTCTGGAACATAACCAGCTTCTAGAGTGGAGACTGACCAAATTAGTATTTGGGATAGAATACCTATATTTTTATCTTTGGCATTAACTGGTAATAGACTTGACATAATAATAAACACCAAGAACTGCTTCCAAAGTCTACCCTATTCCTCTGAGAAGACCTGCTGGTTAACCCTACAGCAGGTCTCTCCTCCCCGAGCGCTCTGGACCCACTCTTCCAACCACTGCAGGCACGTGTGCAGCAGGGGGGTGCTCTGGGAGAGGATGGGAGAACTGCCACTCAATATGCTGGGAGGTAACCATGACAGACCCCTGGCTGTCGGCCCTGGGCTCGTGCTAGCCCTGCTGCGCCAGGCACCTCCACCTGTCCCTCTTTGCTGGTCCCTGATTAGACCACAACGGCTTGAGTCCTGGAACCATGACACTGACCAAGAACTATCCTAACACCTACAGCTACCCCAGGGCACACGGTTTCTTCCTATAAAATGCACAAGCAATAAATGCGTAACCCCACAGTGCCACAGTGGGATGCGGATTCTCAAAGGGCACCTAGGTCACTCCATTAGCTAAAGAGTGGTTCCAAGGTCCAAGTCAGTGCCTCACCAAAATTACAAATACATGTTAGGGCCTCCAGGGCTGCTCAGAAAGAGCCAGAATTCTGAATGCTAAATGCATCACTGACACCCATTCTGCTGCTTCGTAACCATTTCAGTAAAGTGAGCCTTCCCAGCATCTAGCACACCTTGGCACGCAAGCCCCTTAGGAAAACTCTAACACCTTTCTGGCCCTGTGCAGTGCACGTCAAGAATCAGTCAAATGGCAAAATGCCCGGTGCAAGCGTGGGTGGGTTTACCGACCACGGGGCCCTGGCCGAAGCTGAGAAAATGTGAGACGAGCCTTAAGCCCCACAATGCAGACACTGGACACACCACTGGATTTTGAATCTGTGACCAGCTCAATCCACATCACGCTGCCCCTCAGGTCCTCATTGACCCACGTCACCAGAGAGTACACTCAAGGGGGTTACAAAACCGGTAACATGATGAAACAAAATTGACAAATGAAAGGATCTTACTGAAGGGTGTCTACCTACTGCTAGCTAACAGCAAACGTGTGATGTGTGCGGGGGACCTCCAGGAGGGAGCAGATCCTGCAAGGCTTCCCACTTCTAAAAGACCACACACACCTCGTTTGTCTGTTGTTGGGGGGCATCTGCAGAAATCAGTGCTTCGGAGACCACAGTTTGGAAAACATCACCTTGATCAGTTCTCTATACTGCAACTCTTTCAACCACGTAATATTTATTTCAAAGTTACCAAAAGTGGTATATTTATTGTTCAGTTTAAGTTTTTAACAGGTGTCATATATATATATGGGACATAATGGGCTAAACAAATATGAAACACTGCAGAAAAACAAGCTCAAACCTGAACCCCAGGCTGGGTACGGTGGCACTGCAGGTTAAACTGCCGCTCGGGACACCCACTTGCTGTACCGGCACGCCCGGGATTGACCCCTGCCCCTGCTTCTGATCCAGCTTCCTGTTAATGTACCTGGGAGACAGCAGATAATGACCCAAGTACTTGGGTTCTTGTCCCCTATGTGGGACACCCAGATGAGTACCTGGCTCCTGGGTTTGACCTGGTCCAGCCCTAGCTGTTGTGGCCACTTGGGGAGTGAAACTTTCAAATAAATACATAATAAATCTCAAACACACACAAACCGCTCCCACTGCAGCAGGCCAGCACCTTTCTGTGTCTGTCTCTGACATGCATGAGAGCTCTTCAAAAAGTTCGTGGAAAATGCAAATTACAAAAAAGCTACAAATGTTTTGCACTTGATTCCATTTTCCGTGAACTTGCTGAGGCCCCACCAAGGGAATACACTTTAAGACGCTGCCTTTCCTTTGCTGAGGATCTGAAAGGAACAAACCAGAAGCAGTGTTGTTTTCCAATGGCAGGAACTAAGTGAGTGCAACTTGGTCCTTAGTGTCCAGGAACCTTGTGGGAAATCCAGAGCTCTGGGTTGGTGCTGCCAGCAGTTCTTAGTTCCAGGCAAGTCTTCCAGGACCTGACTTTAATCCACCCATAAAGAGAAACAGCAACTCCCAGCACCCACACACAGCCCAGCACTGCACACACCTGAAAATCAGAGAGATCCCCAGGCCAGCGGCGGCGAAATCACCCAGGCACCCATCACACGTGCACCTTCCAGGACACTGGTCATGCCGGCCCTCGACAAAGTCAAACCCTCTGCTCAGAAAAAGGGCAGAAGGGAGCAGTCCTACTGCGCGCACGGCAAGCACCGCACCAGCGAAGCAGCCGACCCCTCTCCCTGGCCAGCGCCTTCTGCCCGAGAGCCCGGCTCATCATTCTTGGCCAGATCTTACACACTCTTCTTTAAACAAGACGGGGAGAGGATTCACAGCCCTGCTGTCAAAGCCAGACCCGTTCGTGGTTAAGTTTAAAAAAGAAATGCTTCACACACACTTCCCATCCCCGTTGTTGTCATGCTCCTGGAAGGAGCCTAGCCACCCTGTTGCCTAGCAACACCGCAGACTCCCTCCCAGGTGCTCTCCAGAAGCTCAACCCCAGCACCAAACAAGGTGAAGCGATTCCAAGAGGAAATTTCCGCACCTTGGCAGCAGGGTGTGTGGTGGGAGTCCACGCAGGCCCATCCCACGTGTGCACCCGCACACAGACGGCCAGACCCACAGGTCTGATCCCCACGACGCTGCAGACGGAAGGACACGCACTTGGGGTCACAGCCAGACAGAATTAGGGGAGCTAACTGTTTGCTCCAGGCCTCGTGCCACCGAGAACCAGGGCAGAGCCCGTCTCCTGCTCCTAGACTTTCCCACTGGGCGAGCAGGAAGCCCAGAGACCACAGGTATAAAAAAGACACCACTCGTGACTAGAGAAGCTTCAAATCAACCCTGTTAATTGTTCTCAAAGAACCTCTACAGAAACAGTTCTTCCAGTGGCACCAAGTCTTTGGCACATGCTTGAGGAAGCTGCTGTACGCCGTGGGAGCCAAGATGCCAGCACAGGACAGTCCTTCCTGGAGTAGGCAGGGCTCGGGCTCTGGCTCTGCACACTGCTTATGAGCTGCACCCTACGTCCTTACAAAGGACGCGCTGAGCCCGTGGACGGCGCACCGTCCACACTATTCACCGAGGTGCTTTAAAGGCCAGAGGAGAACGTGCTCGGGGTGACGACCAGCCTGCTGCTCCCAGCGCGGCCTGGGTTTGTGCTCAACTGACACTCGAGGGCAAGCGCGACTGCGGCCCACCTGCACCATAACATTCCAGGGTACGGACCTGGACGACAGGGATCTGACTGCGCAATTCGAACTTCTAGGATTAGACGCCGTTCTTTTTGGAGCCAATCACGGCCAGTTTCCAAGCAGCGCACGAAGAAACTTACCCGCCTCGAGTGTGTCGCTGGTTGTGGGTGAAGATCTTATAGGGAAGCGCGCGCTCGCCCAGGTTTTCCAAGTTCCTCACTACAGCGCCTCTGTCCATCAGGGCTTGGATCGTACGTTTCAGGGCAGCAGCCGTCTCGGGCTGGTTTTTGTTTGCGTTTTTAAAGAGAAAGAAAAAAAAATCAGATTTGATATAGGAACCAGAATGCTCAAGCCTGATCAGGTCCAAACGTCTGAACAGCTCTGCTGGCAGGGACCACAGGTAAAAGCAACAGCAAGTGCTGTGGGCTAACACAAAGGGAGACATTCACGGTAAAGACACGGGAATGCTCACAGATGCAGAGGGAAGGCGGAAAAGCCAGGCTAGGGAGAGGGAGCAGCGCAGCTCCAGAGATGAGGCAGGAACTACCAAGTGGCTTCTTCGGGGCACCTCGTCAGGCTGAGCAGCGGCCGCCACGGTCAAGCCCTGTGTCCCACCATCAACCTCCAACGTCCAGACAAAAGCATCCTGCCAGGAGGACACCGCAGCAGACCACCCCCCAAAACCACAGCCAGTGGGAAAAGGGGTTGTGCCCCAAGAAAAACTGGGAGGCAATAACTAAAAAGGGCAAATAATGCAACCTGCATCCCCACCGGACTCACACCTAATAAAGGCTTCACACAGCCACACACGTGAGAGCCGGAAGGCAGGGCGGGGGAGGAGTCAGAGACCAGAGGGCCCACGGGAGGCAGCAATGAGGCAGCGAAGGGAAAGACTTCCTGAAGGACAGCTCGTCGGGGAGGAGCCCTGAGAGTCCCGACTGGAAACACAAAGAACAAACCCGCAAAGCCCCGCAGAAAGGGGCCAAGGCAAAGGCAGAGCCCAGTGAGCAGAGAGCCGGTGGCCTGGGGAGCTCGGGCCAGGGAAGGTGGGGACAGCTGCTGGTGAGTGCAGGCCCACTGTAAACAACAAAATTCAAACAATATAAAGCCCCGGCACCCAGAGAGAAGACTTAAAACATGTTGATCTCTTGCTACGCATATGTGTGGAAGAAAAGGTATTTTACCAGGGTAAACCTAAAGACTCAAAACTAATGCCACATGGAGAACGAGGGTGAGACATGGCAAAGGCGGCACCGGAGTCTGGTGGTTGGAGGACGGCACTGTCACTCGCAGCTAAAGAACAGCTGCAGAGCTCCCTGCTGATGCGCCTGGAAAAGCAGTGGAAGAGGCTCAAGTCCTCACGCCCCCACCCACGTGGGAGATGCGGAGGAAGCTCCTGGCTCCTGGCTCCGGATGGGCCCAGCTCCAGACTTTGTGGCCATTTGGGGAGTGAACAAGTGGATGGAAGACCTCCCTCTCTCTCTCTCTCTCTCTCTCTCTCTCTCTCTCTGTAACTCTACCTTTCAAATAAATCAACAGATCTTTAAAAATAGCTGAAGAAGCCTGCTGGGAACAGTAAGAGGGGCTGGCATTGTGATGCAGAGGTTAAGCCACTGCTTACAATGCCTGCAGCCCCATCATAGTGCTGGCTGGCATCCTGCTACGCTGCTTCTGATCCAGCTCCCTGCGAATGTGACTGGAAAAGCAGTGCAAGATAGTCCAAGTGCTTGAGCCCCTGCCACCCATGTGGAAGACCTGGATGGAGCTCCTGGCTCATGGCTTCAATCTGGCCCAGCCATGGCTGTTGCGACTATTTAAGGAGTGAATCAGTAGATGGAAGATGTCTCTCCCTCTCCTCTCTCTCTGCTTTTCAAATACATAAATCTTAAAAAAAAGAGAGAGAGAGAGTTTAGGACATGTTGAGTCTATGATGTCCACAGTTCCCCTAGGTTGACCTCTCAAGATGTAAACCTTGAACTCAAAACAGGTGGATTGGAAATCCACATTTATAGACATCTGCATAGAAGCTACCTGAAGCCCCAAGATGTGAGACCACTGAGTGAGCACAAGAAGGAAAGAGATCAACAACAGATGCCTGAGCACGCAGTGGAACAGGACAAGGAAACCCAGAGCCCGCACTGCCACAGGCACTAAGGAACAGGCAGGCTCCAGGACGAGGGGGAGAGGATGGAGACAAAGACAGCCACAGTGTGTGGCTGCACAGGCACAGAGCGAGACGGGCCAGCAGGCAGATGGGCAGAGGTACAGAGCGCTGGTGGGACAGAGGAAGCACCAGGGCTCGGGGGAGCCAGTCCGACAGCGTCCTAGGAAAGACAGGGCGTGAGGAAGTCAGGAGTTAAAGGGAAGCAGACCAGTTAAGAGGATGAAATGCAGGATTTCTTAAGTAACAACAATGCTGACAGCTATGACTTACTGCTCTAGCTACTGCATGCCAGATTTTGGTCTAGTGTTTTATTGTGACATATCTTCACCCCCCAATAAAAAGCCAAGAAGGTTTACAGATTTGGAATTGGGCCTCTGAGAGACATCATTTGGCAACTAAAGGAAAAGCGGCAGGGGGGCCATGGGAGGGGGCCTACACGCGGGCGAAGACAAGGGGCACTTCTCAGACATGGGTGTGTGGGTGTGTGTGCACTGACCAGATCCGCAGTGCAGGGGGCAACGGAGAAGGCTCATTTGGGTGAAAGGAAAAGAAAGCTGCGGTACAAGTTCCCAGTGGGCATTCTCGTATCCACAGAAAATCTACTATACTCCCATTTTACAAATTTTCTGAAAAATATTGCTAAAATGTTATACATGCATAAAGTATTAGCTTAGAAAGAAAATTACTTTCATTTCCTATTGTAGCCTACTAAGGATGGTAGAAGTCCTCACTGAAATGTTAGGTTTATTTATATATTTAACCAACCATATGATAAAACAGAAACCTCCTGAAAGCAATTAAGAATAGAGGCCAGGGCCGGCGCTGCGGCTCACTAGGCTAATCCTCTGCCTTGCGGCGCCGGCACACCGGGTTCTAGTCCCAGTCGGGGCGCCGGATTCTGTCCCGGTTGCCCCTCTTCCAGGCCAGCTCTCTGCTGTGGCCAGGGAGTGCAGTGGAGGATGGCCCAAGTGCTTGGGCCCTGCACCCCATGGGAGACCAGGAGAAGCACCTGGCTCCTGCCATCGGATCAGCGCGGTGGCCATTGGAGGGTGAACCAACGGCAAAGGAAGACCTTTCTCTCTGTCTCTCTCTCACTGTCCACTCTGCCTGTCAAAAAAAAAAAAAAAAAAAAAAAAGAATAGAGGCCAGAATCTCTGCCAATTAATGCTAACAAGGTAAAAATCCTACAGCAACCTCTCCCCGTGACTGTGTGAAACACAGTTTTAAGCACATGGAGACTAAATTCTCACATTTCATTAGTTCACAAAAACATTTCCACATTTCAGCAGAAGCCTCATTATTAACAGCAGGATGGTATTTCATTTCCTTAAAGAAGCTGTTTCTTGACATGGCATTGCATCAATTAGCTAACACAGGATGCACAGACTACCTATGCAAGTGAAGAAATGTGGAAAGTTAAAAAAAAAAACTAGCTTTCTTGATCAGAGTCTTCTGATTACTCAAATCATAAATTTTAATTTCAGTTTTGCCTATTAACAAGGAATATATCTCAATATCTCATCTCTTGTTTAAATTCCAACTTAAGTGTTTACAGTACAAAACAGGGAGTATCCTTTTCTGAAGAACTTGTGTAATTACAAAGACTTTCTTCTTACATCTGTCCAAAAAGGGGGAAAAGGCTATGTAACGAGAATGTAACTAAAGAAAATACCGAAACACATTTCGACTTTGGTATGTTAAAGCTGTAGACTGCTTAAGTGCTACACCATTCATTTTACTGTAATTTCAAATTACTCGGGTTTTAAAAGGGTGGAAGGAGAAGCAAAAAAATATTTATTAGAATTGCTCAACATGTCCTGTATACTTTAACTTACAATAAAGCAGGGGCATCAAAAGAGGGCCCTTGGGGCAGTTTATTACCTGTCTTTGCAAATAAAGTTTTATTGGAACGCAGCTAACCCATGCATTTGCTGTCTACAGCTACTTTCATGCTAGTGACAGATCTTCACCTGAGAGAGTTTATGGCCTAAACTATGTACTACCCTGCTAGCAGCTACTCTGCATTGCGTTGGGCTGGGGGAAGCTGGCAGGGCCTTCATTTGCTCATGAGAAAATGCACTACAAATAAAATCATGAGGTGAGACCACTGACTGAAGCAGAGAGACGCAGGGTCACAGGATGGGCCATCGGGGAGACACACGGGATGTCACCTGATGTTCAACTCTCCACAGAGCTCAGCATGGTTCCAGAAATTCACCATTTCATGTACCAGGTTCCTAACCTCGTCAGCCTGGGCTGCCAACCTCAACTTTGCTCATTTGGGAAATCTAGAAATCTAAATTCTTAGTCTTAGGGAAAAAGAGAACACAGTTCTGCTCAATCCGGTACAATGTTCAATTTGTGACAGCATATGGTTTATAGGAAGCAAATGATTTTGCTGCCAATAAATAACAGTCATTTACAAGGTCTCTGAACTGCTTAATCCCAGCTGTTCTAAGGGAACTCGTGTGCGCTTCTTATGGGCTTCTCCCACCCACACCTACAAGCAGGTCTCCTAACTCTCCCTCCGACCTGCCACATGTCAACGAAACGCTTTTGGCACAGCACAGACTGAGGCTGAAAATGTCCATCTGGAAAAAAAGGCCAGGGCAGGCATTTGGCCTCGCAGTTGAGACCCAAGTCAAGATGCCTGCAAGCCACACTGGAATGCCCGGGATCGAGTACGGCTCTGTTCCACATTCCAGCTTCCTGCTAACGCACACCCTGGGAGGGAGCAGATAATGGCTCAAGTAACTGGGTCCAAGTGTTTTACTTTTACCACCGCAGGCATTTGAGACATGCGCTCGCTCTCTCTACAAAAATAAAAAAATAGAAAAGCCATAATGAATGAATGCAGACCGGAACCAAGAACACAGGATCCTGGTCCCAATTCACTGAGTTACACAATCCTGCATAAATTGCTAAAATTCATAGGTTGTAAACATGTGCCTCCGTTTCCTCTTCTACCAAATCATTTGCCTGAAACAGTCCCTGCGGAGCCCAGGGGTCCTCCGTCCACATTTGAAAGCCACCCGTCTAGAGAATCTGATGGTCAAAGCTTCTGCTAAGAACAAAGAGGGAGAAAGACCAAAAGGAAGAAGGGTGGGCATCTCCAC